AGTACAATTAAAATGTCAATAAAATAAAACAGTTAAACATGTCAAGAAAATAGTTCTAAACCTTTATATTTGTTACTTGATTTGATATTTGTGGATATACAATTTTCATACTCATTACTTACCCATTTTTTTTACAATTCGAGTAAAGTACTTAAACAGATAAAATACATGCAACTAAAGGGTATAACGGTAATGCTCACCCCAAAAACAGAGGGACCAAATTGTACAAGTTCGAAGCTTTTGGGTACATTTTAAACAAACTGAAAACTGAGGGCTTAATTGCACAATCTCCAAAAGATGGGGACCAAATTAGATTTTAAGAAGGTTGACCATTGACCCATTGACTTGAGATTTAGGTTAATTGAATTTGATTAATTAAAATAAACATCAATTAAAATACTTGATCTTGATTAATTAAAATTAATTAAGGGTAATTAATCATCTTAACTAATCTTAATTAACTTAATCAATCCTTGATTAGTCTAATCAACTCTTAATCAAAGTCACTTAAAAATTATTAAGATAATTAATTAAATCCAATTAAATTTAATTAATCTAATTAACTAATCAATTAACTTCATTAAAACAATGGACTCAATTTAAGGCCCAAATTCATTGCAGACCTTTTTAGCCCAAAACAAAGGTTACCAGGCTGGGCCATTTCATTTTAATTATTTTTATTTTTATTTTTATTTTTTATTTCTGAAATGGACCTAACTAGGGAATATACAATCAGGCCTTGGCCCAGAACTAAAAAAGAAACAAAGGCCCTCCAGCCCAAAAAAACTTAGGTTGGCCGGCCGGCGGCGAACCTTTCCCATAATCCGGCTGCATCGGGGAATTCCGGACGAATTCCGGCGAGGCAATAAAAATAGGGAAAAAAAACCCGAAAACAATGCAGAAAAATGGAAACAAAACACCAACAGTACTCAAACAACCCTAAATGCATCCAAATGTACTGAAATAACCAGAAATTTGGCATGTATACTCAATATTTTCCAATCCACAGTACATGAAAAGGGAAAATTCATCAACACACATTCAAAATTCACGGATCTGCAACTAAAACCAATAAGCATACACGTAAAAGGAGCTTTCTGGTCGTCATGCTTCCGGGTACACCATTTTGGAGTAGTCCCAGAGGCAAAAACCCAAAGGCGCCCCTTATTTGCTCGGATATGGAAGTTACCTAGCTAGGTGAGCCAAAAACGTCCCGGAATCTCGTCGGGAATTTGCTATTCTCGCTCTCTCCGTTCCTCTTAAAGACCCAAAAGAAAATTTTGAAAATTTCTGTTCCCTCTCTGAAACCCTCGTTTTATAGGCGTAGAGAAAAATAAAACAAATCAAAAGTCTAAAATTCTGACCCTCGGATCTATCTCTCTCTTCTTTACCACCGTAGATCACAACAATTCGGATTTGACCATCCTCCTTTCTCCGACAGAACCTAGTGTTTGCAGGTGAAAAGCAAAGGACGGGGGCCATGCGATCGATATTTGGATTTTGGATGGACGGCGATCGAGGGAGAAGGCTGAAAATGGGGGGCCATCATCCTTTTTATTATTATTATTCTTCTTTTTGCCCTCTTTAGGCACAAAACGGCGCCGTTTTAAAATTTTGCTGCCTTTTAGTCCTTAACGTTTTTTCGCTTGCCATTTCAGTCTCTAATTTAAACTTTACTGCAATTGGGTACCTACAAAACAAAGCTTGTATTTTAAATGTTTCCAATTGAGTACAAAATGACATTAATTTGATTTAATCTCGATTTCTTTTTAAACAAAATTTCCGAATTAATTTCCCACATCAAGTCAAAGCTCAAATATTTAAGTTTTCATTTAAAACATAAAAATTTAGGAGAAATTAATATTTTAAAAAAGTTGAGATTTTGGCAAAAATATTAAAAGAGCTAGAAAAAATTGGGTTATAATAGTTCATATATGTATATTTTTAGCTTCTAAACTTTTAAATTGAGAGAATAAAAATGTACATATTAAAATAAATTTAACAAATTAATTAATGGAATAATTAAAAAAATACATTTTTTTATCAAATTTATTAATATCGTACCAACATCTATACCAATTTTGCTATTAAACATATGTAAAAGATATCAAAAATTTTCATGTATTATTTTAGATTTACCATTATAAATATATAGATTTTTATATAAACTAAATATATAACTTTGAAATAATATTTAGTGAGTATAAAAAAATTTAATACTTGAAAAAACTAATTTTTAAAAAATTAAAAATATTCAAAATGAAAAAATTCATTAAATTTAATATTATAATATTACAAAAATGTATATCAACATATTCTGTATTTATTTATAGAGATTCATATATTTATTTGAATCTAAATCCAATACAACTAAAAAAATTAAACATTTATTTAGATTTACAATGTATTTTTTCAAATTTAAATCTAACTAAATAATATTTTACTTATTTAGTTTAAAAAATAGTAATTTGATATGCCAATCATGATTTATGTATATATATTGGAAAAATAGAGATATTTTATTAATAAAAAAATAAGTACATTCATAATTGTATTTTTCTAAAATATAAACATATTTTAACGACATAATTTGGTAAGTGATATTTAAAATAAATAAATAAATAAATAAAACCTTATAGTAGTGAGATTTTATTGTATCAATTGTTAAATTGAAATATTAATTAGTACATCAAAATTTGATCGAAATGGCTAATATTATACTAAAACAAAATTTAACTCTGTACCTGTTAAGTCTAGAACCAATATGCACTGGTTATATTGACTGGTACAAAATAGCATTGATAAGCTTATTTTTTATAATTGAGGAATAAGATAAATACATAAAAAACTAAAAAATAAAAATTATACAAAATTTTAAAATTAAGGGATCAAGATTGATATTTTATTTTTTTGTATTAATTTCTTGGTATCCAGTAACCATATCGGGTCTGACTAGTTCAGAATCGAATCGTGTCGAACTTCATTAAGGAAAAAGTTTTTCCAACGCCTATTTCTCTATTTATAAGACTCAAACTCAAAACTTTTAAAAAAAAAATCGAATTCTTTCTACTCAAACTATCAATTCATTATATCAAGATTAATATTTAAACTTGTAAAAATAGGACTGAGGCCATTGGCACAAGAAAAAGAGAGAACAGCGCCGCTTTCCGTGCATAGAGATTGGCCTTTTTTTTTTTGGGCCCATGGACCAAAACAACATTATCTCGGCCTTATTTTACCACAATTTTTGACCGGTCTGACAGGTCTCTGTCGGTGGGGCTGGCCTGTGACAATCAGGTGCTAACATGCTTGTCATTTTCTCAACAAAGTCTTGGGTTTTAAATCCAACGGCTTGGATTTTTTTATTTTAATTTAAATATATAAAATATATATAAAATAAAAATAATAATTGTGTGATTTTT